CAGACCCCCCATTCCCCCCATGCACAAGGCGTGTCAGGGCGTTGAGCACATGTAAGGCAGAGGTCGAGCAGTGATGAATCGACAAATACAAGGACGAATCACGGAGAGTCTGTTGCAACTCGCGACATTGGACAAGCGGACGCAAGCTAAACAAAAGACGTGGAAGGATCGCAGCGTTGAAATGACCAGACGCAGGAGCGGACGCTTCGGGTAACGGAGAAGACAAAGGATGAAACTGAAAGAACGCACGTTCTACCCAGCGGTCAAACCGAACGGGTTCTAAGTTAGGGTCGACCTTATCCTCGATCTGTTGCCATTGCGCGTCCTGCAAGATCCAAGTGCTGCGAAGGTATGCCATATCAGGGGGGAGCCCGTGGTGGACGCAGCCTGTACAGCTTGGGAGTACGAACCATAACGTAGGGGTCGTATCCAGGGATCTCTTGCAGTCCCTCTTTGCTCGAAAGTCCCGGCTGATACAGTTGTGGCGGGACAACCGGAATGGTGGTGTAAGGATATGTTGGCACCTTACTGTGACGGTCTTTCTGGAGCTGCTTGGCGTAAGACAACCCATCATGAGTTGGCTTCATCAAGTCGAGCAATGCTTGGCTGCGCAGACCATCGTCGCTCAGTATATTGATCAGCATGCACGCATGTTTCCATGAGTTGGCATCATCGAACCCTTTAGTGTGGATATCGGCAGCCATACGAGCAGTAACCTCATATACGAGCAACAGATAGTCACGCTTGAACATCTCATACAACCAAGTGATGGAAATACCATGAGTGCGCTCCATGTGACACATCGTGGGGTTCCTCCCACTCCTCATAACATTGATCATCGCTTGATTATCGTCATAAAAGACTATTCTTGGTGGCGTCCTCATCAAAGTCTCCCATGCACTGATGCTTGGGATTCCAAGTGTCCTCAATGCGTAATCCGCCGCTACAATCTCAGCCTCCGGGGTGGAGTGGCTAACGCACCCTTGACGTTTGCTACCACCTGCCAACGGGAAACGAGTTCGTTTGCCTTGGACATGCATGTGTGCACCGGAAGTCGACTTCAACGATTGACCACATCCTGCGTAGTCCGCATCTGCGAATAGGGCTAACGACAGGTCTGCTTTGGAATCACCGACCCAACCTACCATTTTCTGATCGGTTGAATGATGCACGTAACACATCAGGTGGTGCAATTTAGCAACGTCGGCAACTGTCCATTTTGTCACATTACGAGCCAGCACATTGATGGCCCTTAACAGGTCGAAACGCGCTATTCTAGCAGCGTACAACAGTTTCATTAGGAGACTAGCAGCATGAGGCGCTAGGGTACCACGAGGTTGCTCCTTCGCATCAGACTTGACGTCATCGTCTGTTGACCTGGCCTTGGAAGCTGCCTGGTCAGGCGAGAAACAAGTACCACACCATGTGCATGTGACAGCAAGTCCCTTTTGGGTACTGCATGGTGCTCTCGATGGATGATCCTTTGTGACATCCGGTAACATTGGCGTTGCAACTTTCTTCAATACTGTGTCCTTACCTACTATATCGAGGTATTTGACCACGCTCATTTTGAGCAGAGCGCTCATATCATATGTCATTGTAGTGACTTTGGAACCATCGGCCAATTTATCTTCGCCTTTCGACAAAACACATCCTAAATACAATCCGACCTCGGTTTCCGGTTCAATGCGTAGCTTGGATCGGAGTAGGTCCCAACCTTTCTTCAAGTTCTCCTTGGGCCCTGCCAACTTCAAGTCGTCCACATATATCACTAATAGCAAGTCTAGCTTTTCGTGGTAATACATCGACGGCCATTCTGGTCCGACGGGTTTGAACTCCAATGCACGTACAGATTCGTCGCAATGTTGCTCCCACATCGTTCCAGAGTCTGGATGTCCGTATAATGCTTTGTTCACACGACACATAGGACGTTTGAGACCCCTTCTGGTGATCTCCTCTTGCAAGTGCTTGGGCCACGCTTCCCACGGGAGTTCAGCCCAACACGGTACACCGCCCAATAACGCTTGGATATATGCTCTAATGGCGTCTGCCACCTGCACATCATTACCTTCCAGGCAACCGTAGAAATCGGCCCATCGAGCAGCTTCGAATGTAGCTGGAGAGTTTCCAAGGTCTTGGAACAATGCTGCCTCGAAGTTCTGGTTCTTCACCTGATCTCCGAGTAGAACCCCTCGCCCTTTGAACTTCCTCTTCGGGTCATCGTCAGGCAGTTGGTAGTTCTTTTCCACACATATTCCATGTACTCTTGCTAAGTGAACTTCTTCCCCTTTCTTCTTGGAGGTTGCCACTATCTCATCATATTCTCTCAGCCACGACCCGTCGAATGTTTCCTCATCCCAGAGTCCGCCCCACTCATCCAACATAGATTGCATTGCCTTCTTATTGGATAAGATCTCAGCACGGCTCACAGGTCTTGATACCACAGCGTTGAACAACCTATTGCCCATAAGTTTTGGGCGATGTTGCGTATCACGCACTACACATGGCATCGTCGGAAATGGTTCATCAACTACATCGTTGTCAATGGGATCACCAGTGATGCAACAACATATCTGACCGTTCAGTGGGTTGTAGACGTTCTCCGTCTTCCAAGCCGCCATAGCAAGATTGTCATCGTTGTCCTCCCACATGGCACTCTCGTCCCAATCGGTGAGGAATTCTTCATCACTGGGGACACACGTGGACTCGGATGTAAAGGATTTAGGTGACCATGGGTCATCATCATCATCAGTGTCCCACTCCATAAAGGTAGTAGGCATAGCCAAGCTTGGTCCACCTTCACCCTTCTCATCCTTACCCTTAGACTTCTTTTCTTTCTTGGATTTCTTATCCTTCTTGGTTTTCTTATCCTTCTTGTCTTTCTTATCCTTCTTGTCTTTATTGGACTTCTTTTCACTATCTCCTTCGTCACCCTTCTTGGCGTCTTCCAGGTCCTTCAACAGTTCATCAGGCTCCTCGTCCTCCTTCTTATCCGTACTGCTCCCAAGTCCTTTCGCTTTCTTCGACAATCTATCCACGACCTTGTCTACATGTTTCCCGGCCTTCTTGGCTATAGCTCTATCTTTCACCGATAGCTTCTGCCATTCTTCAGGTGTAAGGTAGTCCTTGGGTCTTGGTGAGTTGTGGAAGAGTCGCCTTCCATCCGATCCCACTCTATATAGACGACCGTCCGTTGCGATCTTGACGTGTTCGCCGTCGTTGTTCAAGTAAATTATGTTATCACCTGGCCCCCCCAACGGAGTAGTGATCGGGACCGGAGTACTCCTCTTTCTTCTTCTCTGTGAGTTCTTCCGTTTTCTTATCCTCGATCGCGTCAATTTCGCTAGCTTTTGACTTCAGATCCCCGTCTGGTGGATCAGGCGCATCATCGTCATCGTCTTGATCGTCGCCATCGTCGGGATCGGGTAACTCGGGATTGGTAGGTGCATCTGGAGAACCGGATCTCTCCTTCAGGACTTTCATTCCTTCGAGTGTGCTGTTCAACCTCTCGTATTCTTTCTTCAATGGAAATTCTATTCCATCGTCTTGGAAGATCTTCTCGGTGATGTGAGGAGTAATCAACTTCTTCAACGGTCTCTCGGCATCATAGCCTAGATTCTGTTGCGCGAAATCGCTTATGGCCCATACTTTGTATTTCCGCGACCAGTTCATCCCGGTCCCCATAACGTATCCTGCGAAGATGCCAGGTATGCTCTTGGGGTCGAACTTGTGATCTTGGTCTCTTTCTCTCGCATCACTAGGTTTGAAGAACACCTTCGCTCCAAGTGCCAACAGAGGTCAAAGGGACTTATAGTTCAAACTTTCGCCTGGGCGCTATAGATCGTCTATAAGTCCTCTTGGGGGTGCTGCGTGGGACGCGCTGGGTGTTGCATGGAAATGCTGCAAGCCTAGAAGAATTTGGCAGGCAACAGCCCTGGTGTGAACCCAATTGCTTGGGTTGCTCCACTACCATGTTGAGCGAAGAAAGGGGTGGGGAAGAATGTTCGTGGGTTCAGCAGAAATATTGAAGGATGTTGTACCACTTCAATCAACCTGCGCAGGGTTGAGACAGGAAGTTTTGAGCCCAGAAAAGGGATATCAAACACGGCGGTTGCCCCACTCACTGGCTACAAACATGATAATCAAACTTAAGTCTTCCGGGCTCTGGAAAGTTCCATTCTGTTCCTCACAGGGCCATTTCCAAGGTCTAGGTTTTGAGCGCTCTAGTCTGGAAATGCTGTAACTATAGATCTTGCAGGGCTAATGAATCCCGAGATCCACACAGAAATCTTGCTCCTTGGAGCTCTTTCTCAAGAGTGGAGGCTTTGTGAGGAGATTTGGGAAGTCTACAAGTACACCTACGACGACAAATTTGAATGATGGCTCAAGGAAAAAGACACGTGCGGTATACCCTTCTTTTGGCTCAAGGAAAAATCCCAAAGTAATAGAAACGGATAAATTCACATAGCACATTTAACGATGCGCGTGCTTTGTGCGCCCATACCCAGTGCCAGCTGATTTTGAAAAATCCCTGAGCCCAAATTCTGTCGATCGTACTGCAAGCTTTGTGTTTTGACTTGGGCCTCTGTCGTACTTCGCCGCTTTCAAGGGGGCTGTGTTTATTTGTGTTTTGTCATTGTGTATCTTTCCAGAGAGTCTTCATGTGCATTTGCTAGGCTATAGGCTACTGTCATTGGTATATACCAGGCCTGTTCAAAGAGAGATCATGATTCAATATATAATTACACTAACAGTTTTCTTTGCAAAGCCTTTTGTCTGGGCCGGTGATGACCTATTCAACGGGCCTGGTGCAATGAGCTTGCAACCGCCTTGCCCTCAGATTACTGCACAGAAAATGACCAACAAATGAAAACAAGATGAACGAGCAACATCACAAACGTGAGCTTTGATGTGGTAGCTGTCGTGGGCTCTGAATCGGGGTCAGGCCCATTTTGTTGCATTTTGTTGCAGGGTTTGTCGGTAGGGGTCTCTTTTTGAGCATGGCTGGCAGACGGATGCCCAAAGGGAATGGCCGCCTTTCCAAACAAAGATCCATTCGAAAGGATCGTGCTTCGTGGCTAGCACGGCGCTTGTATGACCAGGTTGACCTAGAGCGAGCAGAAGAAACCGGCATACTTTTCCCACGAACGAAGTTGAAGAAGTTGAGTGAGAGACAAGCGTTTAGGTTTCTCAAAACTTGCTCCGGGCGATACTTTACCGACAGGCTCTGCAAGAAGGCGACATGGAAACTTGTAGGCTTGCTTCCTTTTGAACTTCCATGTGGCCCTGAGGGCAAGGAAGCTCATTTAGTTGTTCAAGCCCAGCGGTTAAAGCAGTTAGCGAAGAGAGCTAAGAGGATGCTTGGCTCCAACGTCGACAACCTTGAGACTCAGGTGTTTAACTTAGTGATGGTTTGAAGCATTTTAAGGAAGACTTGATCTAGATTGGTGTCATGTGTGTTGATCGGGCTCCATGAGGTGATCACCACCGAGTCACAGGCATGGTTTAATTTGCCTGGCGCGGAGTTGCTGCTTCCATCGCCTCGCCAGGCTCTTCCCAACCTTGATGATACGATGCCAGCGGATCGGGAGGACTCAGGGTTGAATGTTTAAAAAGTGTGGGGTAGACAGAGATGAGGGTGAGGTACGCAGCAAAAGTCTGCGACAATCACTTGTAGTTATCCGCAACGGTTGACGCACCAAAACGGTGAGGATATCGGTGGGGAAGCCGTGCCTTCGGAAGAGGACAGCAACTTTGGATGATTTCGCGGGATTCTGCCTGGATCGTTCTGCAACTACATATTCACAACTATAGATAGATAGATAGATAGATAGAGGGATAGATAGAGGGATAGAGAGAGAGAGATGCCCATAAAACTACAATATAAAAATATGTGTTTGCCGGCTTTTCTGCCAGGAGGCCATTGATCTTCCATCTGAAAAGGAAGAGCTGGGCGATCTTCAACTGGATGACGAGGCTTCCAAACTTTGACAGTCAGATTTTCATTGGGTGATCTTGACTCTCTATGAGGTTGAAAGCCTTCCGCGCACGGAGGTGGATGAGGACCATTGTTGGTGCAGTAACGGGTTTAGTTGCGTTGGTTTTGACGCTCTGCAGTGATGGTGTGGCCCTTCAGAACGAAGACAATGAAGGTGACTCCACTCCTGATACAGATGAGGACTTGCTGTTCACACTTTGTTGGTCATGTTTTTGTGTGAGTTCAAACATGGTCCAAAACATGTAGACTGCATTCCATTTCACCGAAGAGCCTGCAAAAACCTGAGCCAGAGGACTTTCAATCCTGGTGCGCTGCAAATGAAGATTTCCTTGCCCTCGAGTGGCAGGTCAGACAAGATGATAGCACATTAAACTGTTTCTCTTTGATGTTGACATATTTATTTTTCATGAAGGCCTGCAACAAAGACAATGTTGACGAGGGCGACTCCGACTTTTCCATCCATGTTGAGGTGCCAAGCAGCGCTCTTCTTGTAAGTCCAGCCCAACCGTTTGAACTCCACTGTTTCAGGCGGCTGAATCTGAGATTTTTGAGGCTTTTGAGGACCACTTGGGGGCAAATAAGCGCATGTCTTCTAATTTTCATGTGTTTTCAGGAAGATGAGATTTATGATGATGGAGATTGGGATGCGGCAAACGGTGACAAGGCAGAAACCACCCTACTATTTTCTAGCTCTTCATCAGTCCATGCAAGTGCAAGCGCACCTCTCCAGTCGAGAATGTAGGATGGCAGGGTCTGTCTTGAAGCAGATGGCTCTGACTTCGAAAAGGACAGCTGTTTTGGAAACAGTTTTGAACATCAAGAATAACCAAGAATTAGCTCTATAGTCTAGGAACCAGTGGGTTTCAGGACAATGAAATTCAGGATGAATTGCCAGAGGAGGTCCAAACCCCAGTGTATAAACAAAGCCTTGTGTGTGTGTCTCTTCCGCTTTTCCGTGCGTGGCAGACCGACTACACCGACCCTCCTGAAGAGGCCGGCCTGCAATTTAACTTGTTCACCATTTAACTAATCTTGCAACGCCATGTTGTTTGGATACATCATTGCCAAACGGCGCAGGTATCAACCCCGATGACCATGAATGAACTGCAAGAGATCAACAGCCGGGTCAAATCAACCCCAAGAAAACGGCTCTTCGACGATGTGAACGGCGGCTGGCGAAACGTGAGGTCAAAGCAGGAGGGGTTGCGCATCTGTTTAGCTATATAATCGTGTGTGTGTTTTTTCTTTTCGAGTGGGGCCGTTCAATTTCACCCAAGGAAATTAATAACTTCTTGTCTTGTTCTCTCTTTCTTTGATGGTTTTCTGGCTTGGACCAGTACATCCAAGTGGGAGGAAACGAGCCCCGACACCAACAATGAGGACGGCTTTGTCGGGGGTGGAGCGTTTGATGTTTGATGCTGTTTGGACCTTTCGTGCAGATTCTTTGTTTGCAGGCGGACACCTTGCCTTATGAGATCGGTTTTGAGGAGGACTTTCAAGATTTTCAAGCATTCACATCTTTCAACTGAAGAGGGTCCATCAATTAAACGAACAAACTTATTGCTTCTCCCAGACATGCAGGATGCCTCAAGCGTGAAGGACTCTTTGAACTAACCTGTTGCATCGAATGTTACATCGAAAAGTGTGCTCGGTGCTGTGCGCACAGCTTTTCAAGCGACCAACAGTTTGCTCTTTTGTTTCACACACAACGGTCAAATCGTTACACATGATTTTGAGAAGGAATGTGGTCATCGTGGTGGTGTTTATCAAGGTGAAGAACTTGAAATGGTCTCTGAGTTGCGGGGATGGCTTCAGGACTCTGGAGATTGGACAGCCCAATGGCTAAGGGTGTGGGATTTCTACAAACAGCTGAATGGAGAGTCTGAGGATCGTCCAGGTACTGATCTTCGGTTCAGGGATGGGATGTGGGATGATGATGTCTTGGAAATGCTTTGCAAAGTCCATGCTTGGCTTGTCCGTCGTGGTTGGTCATGGGAGGATGAGTGGCTGTCAGTGTACGAGTACTTGCTAAAAGAATCCGGTGAACTTGAAGAATTTGGGGATTCTGAAGAATCCGGGAAACGTGAACACTCTGAGTGGCTACATGATGCCAAATCTGGGCAAGCAACCTCAGCCTCACCTCCCACAGTGACCCCACCACAAGATCGGTTCTTGCGGGTGTCGCCATCCCGAACGCCAGAGAAGGTACCACGCCCGCTCCAGAAAGTCCAGCTGGCAGCAAACAAGAGATTGCAAGCCCAACTCAAAAAGCTGAAGAACCAACCAAAGAACGAACCGGTGAGCCAGTCAGACCAGTCAGGAAAGCCAAAGCCTTCAGGCACCGTGCCAAGCAAGGTCTCCAAACCAAAGACTTCTAGTAAGAAGCCGCTGCGGAAGAACAACAAATCAGGGCCTATGCAGAAGGCCATGGCAGCCTTCTTTCAGAAGGCCAAGGCTACCATGTCACACCGAGAGGCTCAACAAGCCTGGATGGAATCCAGTGAGCGTGAGTGCATTGTCTCTTCTATGTCAGCTTCTGAACGCGCTAGGCGGCGATTTTAAGTCTCTCTTGACCTTGGGTTCATGCCAACGGTTCCAAATTATCAGTTTGCAGCCTTTATAAGTCTTTCATTCATGTCCCTCTTCCGCGCCATTGGTATGAGTGCTTTTTGAACGAAAGTTCAGTTCAGCAGGGAAATCCTTGCGTGGTCCACGGACAATTGGGGTATGGTGCAAGATCAGACTTGCAAAGGGGTGTGACCAAAATGTTGCAGAATGCTTGGAAAAACTCTCCCGTGGTCCTGTCGCTTGCTTGCTTGCGTGCCTCTTCTGCACTGAAACGTGTTGAAACAGCTTACCCACAGCAGCAACAGCTGCTTGATGCGAATCACATGTGGTCTCCTCGGCGCAAGGCCAGACCTCAAGCGACCGGCGTCTTTTGCCTTTTCCCATTTAGAGGCAGGACTTGACCTTTCTTTGTGCAACATTATCTGGATATGTTTTTGCAGCCAGTCAGTCCATGCTTGTCTACACTTAGTTGGCGCAGCACTTTGCTTCAAGAAGGGTTGCAGGGTCTCAACATGAGATATAGCCAACTGGCCGCAATTTTAACGCTGCTTTTAAAGACCTATGGAGAGGTTTCCTTGGAGGACGCAACGCACCTTCAGGAAGACTGTTGTGGAGAAGGCAACATCAGTGCAGCGGCACGGATGTTCGGGATGGTTGCTGGCCGCCGCGACGTGTCCTGTCGACATGCGGAGTTTTGCAACTGTTGAACGTTCGATGGGTCATAGCTAGTGTCATTCTTAGTTTCATGACAGTGCGTGAGGTTGCAAAGGACTCCAATTTCAATCTCTTGACTGCCATCGGATTCATTTGCGCAGTGATGGGTGTTTCTGGGTGGCACTTGTGATGGAGAAAACACATATTCCAAAGAGTTGTCTGGCTTGGGAGTATTGTATGTTGCCCTACTCGTGAGAAGTGAGTGGTTTCCAGCAGGTACGTTCTTTGAGAGCGGGATGCATTTACTGGATTGGACCACCCTGTGCAACATGGGTGTGGCTTTCCCGATCAACTACTGGAAGGTCAAAAACAAATCCTGGAGGCCTTTCAAAACATGTACAAAACAGTGCTTGTCACGAGCGTTGTGATTGTAGCTTCATTTGGGTACAGAACTTGAAAGAATTTTGACATCAGGATGCCGCTCCTATCGGAATGTACGACGTGCAAACCGCATGATACGACGGGTATGCTACTTGTGCCTTGAATGCTGTAAAGTGTGCGAGGCTTTGTGCACATATGCATCTTCTGAACCAGTCTCGGGTTTGCTTGCCTGTTTGTAGAATCTGAATCTAAGGGCCGAGCTGTGCTTCCAGAAGGGGGTGCACTATGTCATAGAAAACCCAATGAGTTCTCTGGTTTGGTCTTACAGGCCTCTTGAGGTGCGCTCCTATGGATGCCTCTTTATTGTCATTGAATTGACTTCTTGCAAGAGTTGCACCCTTTTTGATGGAAAGGACCTGCTACGTCGACATCAAGCCCTCTCCATCAGCGTACCACTGGGCCAGTTCGGTTCCAGCTCAGAGTGGCTTGGTTGTAAACTTTGAGAGTCTGCACTTCAAGTTGGAACAATAACTGTTTTGGAGCTACACTTGGGAAAGAATTCAGAATTGGTATTGAACCAAGTTTTTCGGCTGGCTGAGGAAACGGGTGACGCTGATGACAACCTGCCCATGGTTGTTTGACCTCGGCGTGAAAGTTGATCCGGAGCGGAGGCAAGGCAGTGTTCTGTGGGTGTCAGTGGGCATGTTCTGTCCGTGTGCTTGCGCAATGATGTAATTTTAAGAGGTGGCCAGAATCTTGTGTCCTGTCAATTGCTGGTGAGGATTCGCTTGGCTCGCATCAAATCCCGTCTCAATTTGCAGATTGTACGAAAGTGGCGTTGCAAAGTCACCGGTCGCTGGAGAGTTGTCATTTACTCAGTTCTCAGTTCTTGTGTATGCTGAAGTCATGCGTGTTTGATGCTAATGAAAAAAGCTGAACCAACCAAGGCCGGAGGTAAAGACTTGGCCTCGACAGCGACATATCCAATTGGATTTGGTATGAAAATTGCTTCGTTGCTGAAGAGTTATGTGTGCTGTGGCTGCAGGTTGTGATATTGAGCTTCTGGAGCACTTTGCTGCCCATCTCAAAGTTAGAATGGTGACACCTTGTCGGCCAAGGGACGAACATGACCCTCAAGTTCTTCCTGATAGCGGCCTTCGCTTTGAAGACGTTGATGACTCTGCCAGCGATAGTGGCATTGAGCACCTTTTGGATTAGTCATGCAAGACATGCAGGATGCAGCAGGTCTAAAACAATAACGTGTTTGCAGTCTGCCTGGCACATGCCTGCACTCATGCATTCGTTGCAAGCTTTGGATTGCTGTCTCAATTGTTGTACGTGTTTTGTGTGCTTGGTTGCTGAATTTTGCAAGCGGTATCGTGTTCTTGAACCCTGAACATCCCTGCAGACTCTGGGCTGCACTATGGAGGGTCAAGTTATAGGAGGTTCAGGAGGTTTGGTCGCAGGATATGCTTACAGATCTAGAAAGGATTGAGGTAGGCGAGTTTTTGGGTAGTTGGACATTGGGAATCTCAACTGGACGATAATGAAGTGTGTGTTTCTTGTTTTGAAAGCTTGTGATTGTAGAAGTATTGTTCTTTCATGTTCTTTCCAAAAGGTGATGGATACTCACCAAAGCTCTTTATTGCAAGTCCGTAAGGCTTGGAAGGGTGTAGGCTCAGAAGGGTTTACTAAATGAATGCCAGTCTTCAAGAAAACTATCATTCCAGGTGTCATACACCAAACAGCCTCCATGAATTTCCTTTTAAAGTTCATGAAATTTCATGAAATTCCATTAAAGTTCATGAAATTTCATGAAATTCCATTAAAATTCATGAAATTTCATGAAATTTCATGAAAGTTCATGAAAATTCATGAAATTTCATGAAATTCACTAAATTTCATGAAATCTCACAATCGCTTCTGGAAATTCATGAGGAAGTTTCATGAATTTCATGAATTTCAAGAACACGTTTGAAGTATAATCAAACATTGAAGTTTTTTTCAGAAGCCTCCCTGAAAGAGGCTGCGTGAAATTTCGTGAAGATATAACTATAGATCGTCTATAGAACCTGTAGAACGTGAAGAAGCGTGAATTTCATGGTTCCTGAAAATTCAAGGACCGGCGCTGGTTCGAATGAATCTTGGCTAAAGTTGAGGCACCCTGAAAAGACAATGAAGGATGATTAATTTTAACGCTAAGGGCTGAAGAGAACGAGGACTATGTAACGCCGCAGAAGGCTACTCTACGGAGGTGTTCTTCTAAAACATCCCCCTCAAGTTCTGTCAAGGTGGTGGAGCCAACTGGGAAGCAGCACAAGTTTTCCACAGCAATTGAATTTGCACGGCATCTTTATGAGAAGTCCAAGTCCAAAGGCAATGGTAAGGGCAACGCTCAAGCCCTTGCTATTGCTTCGAAGCCTGTTCCCTCGACAGGGTGGCTCTCCAAACCCAAAAGACCACAGGGGTTGATGAATAGGCTCAGGCCCATGAAGTCAGCTGATGTCTATGCTGTGGCCAGCCCTGTCGACAGCAATTTCAAGAAGAGCGAAGAAGTTGAAGAGGAGGAGGAACAGATGGGCAAGGC